TAGTTTGCTATTGGCTATTGCAAATTGAAATAGCCAATAGGAATCTAGTAATGCATTCCTATGGCCAAAATGTTTTATTCTTTTTTTCTATTCTGACACGGCTCCGTGTCAGAATAAAAAAATAAAATAATTCAGTGTTTCTCTCCTTGGCGGCCAGGAGCGGGAGACTCCCGGAGCACCCGGGAGAGTTAGGCTTTTTTTTTCTTCTTTTTTTGGACGGCAGCAGAACCGCCGGCCAATATAAAACTGTTGGGCGGAGCTAGCTGTCATTGCTAGCTCCGCATAATCGTTTTCTATTTTTATTTTTCTACTTTTTTAACTACTGTTAGTTACTACTGTTACTGTTTTTCTGTTCTGCTCGGTCCCACAGAGAGACCGAGCAGAACAGCCGAGCCGACCCCACAGTCTCCTGGTTCTAACCATCTGGAGAGGATGCTGTAAAGGGTGAATTAGCTTATGGACCCAGATTTTATCAAACCTCTGCAGGGAGATCTTACTAAAGTATATCATTTAACAGAGAGGGAGGGTTGACTTGATCAGGTTTTTACACTCCGTCAGCAAAGGTGGAGAGATCCACTTCAATGTAAGTAGACTTTCTTTTTTTTGGCATAAAAGTGTAGGCTCCTAGTAATTTTTAGAGTGGAGAGGGATCTGTAGTCCTCCACCAGCCCCAAGAAACACAACTTAGGACATGATAGTTTAAATAGGCCCAATGCTGCTTGAATAAAACAGTTAACCTTTATCCAAAATGGACCAAGATCAGATCACATGAAAAAAAATCTGTTTCTTAAACACTGGCTTGGAAGCAAAGTGGGAAATGCCAGATCTTCAAAATATACATCCACAAGGGAGTGTTGTATAATTGATGATATAGTTTAAGTCAGGGGTGCCCACAATTTTGTGTGCAAAGATCTACTTTTTGTATGACCAGCTCAACGAGATCTACCAAAGAATGGCACCACAACCCACCTCCCGCAACAGAACACAGGGTAGGTCTGATTGCGATGAACACATTGTAAAAAGGGGTCATCTAATTCCAGTGTGTGCGGATCTTTTGTCACTTGTTCACTGGAGGTGGATTACAGCATGGAACAGAACACAGAGTGGTTGTTGTTTTTTGTCTTATGTGTGTATATACACAGACACACACACTCACACACACACATACATATATACAGTACACAGCCTGCGGTACACAATGCCCCCTCCCTCTGATAAAGAACACCACTTACTGTGTCTGATGTGTGTTGCCCCAGGGCCCTGCTCTCAGGCTTCCCCAGAGTGGAGCAGCTGCATGCTGAACTCTGTGCAGCACGGCTTTCAGTGGCAGGGGCTCGGCCAGGACAGAGCGCCACCTGCCGGCCAAGTCAGAGAACTGCACCAGGCCAGCAGCAGCTGAGCGCCCAGATAAACGGAGCAGCCAAATTGAACTAGCAATCGCGATCTACCAGAAATAGCTTTGCGATCGACTGGTAGATCGTGATCGACCTAGTGGGCACCCCTGGTTTAAGTGGTATTAATTTGCCCTTGGAAGGGATAACTGTATTTCTCATTAAAATCTTCCCAGTCCCCCGAAGTCAGCTGCGCTAGCATGGTATGCCATTTGTGCCTTATTATGGAAGACTGGTGCATGATATAATATAATATTATATATTGTAATATATATGATATAATGCTGCATAATATTGAGAGATCAATTTAGTGTTATCCAAAGACAAAATACATTTCTTGAGAGTAGTATGGGAAAAGCACGCTCTTTTTAGTGATTTCAGTGCAGTCACGAAAGCGACTTTTTTTGTTTCAAGGATGTCAGCATTAAACACATGCAATCTTAGGAGTATTCTGTCATGCAATTGATCAGTGTGTAATTGATAAATAATTACCACAATCTCAATTTTAATTCATTTTATGTTTATTATTTTTTTCATTCTTATTATAGGGTTTTGCACTGAATCTTTCCCTCTCCAGTCTTTGATTTAGGGGTCATGCTGACTAATAAACATTTTTTAAGTGGAAGTTTACTAATGAACCAATTTACCTGTGAATAGCTGCAAAAAGATCTTCAGTAGTACGGGGCTTGTTGGGTGACACAAAGACATCATCAGTGTCTAACTGGGAATCCTCACTCATTGGTGATATAAGAGAGTCATCACTTATTGAAGAATCTACAGAAAAGAAAAAAAATTTTTTAAAGTATAGTTCAGTGATTATTTGAATTTTTGAAAGAAAGCAACCTTGTCATAGACCCTTAAATACAGGATCTAGGGATCTTGTATACTATATGAAATAGACTTTAAATGTAAAACACTATACTATAATGTAAAGACATGACTGCAGTAAGCATGGTGTGCTGTTATTGAATATTAAAACTACTCCCTTAAATCCAAAGAACATTTTTATAACTGAATCAGAGTTTAAATTTTGTCTGATATTTTTCATTAACCTCACTGGTGGTATGATTATGGAGGATTTTAGCATGCCAAAGTGGTACATTGTTTTTCATGGCAATTTGTTGTTTTATATTGTAAAGACTTTAGAGGAAAACAAAAAAAAGTGCTGCAGGTTTAAAGTGCAAGCACCTTTAGCAGCCGCCCAAATCCTCCTGTCATAGCTGAGTGCAGACCAATCCGACAAGCAAAGCTCTGACACTAACCCCTTCCACCACATAAAACCCCTCCACAAACATTCCTAATGGCCTGTCACTATGGTATCACTGGCCAATAGGAATGTGCAGGAGGCAGGAAGGCATGGGCAAGCTTTGTCACTGTCAAGGCATGATATGTTGGTTTGGGAATTAGCTGCAGGTATGTGTTTAGTCTCCCCAAGAAGACTTTGTTCGGCTATTCACTTCAGGCTGGTACAACTGATTTCAGCCTACAAAAAAAAAACTCTCCAGGGCGGTCTAGGAGCCACCCGCTCCCGGCCGCCAAGGAGAGAAGCACTGATGTGTCTTTTTTTTTTCTTTATTCTGACACGCGATGTCAGAATAGAAAGAAAAAGAAAAAGACATTTTCCCATTGAAAAGCATTGGGACATTACTATTGGTTATTTCAATTTGCAATAGCCAATTGTAAACTAGCATTGTTCCCGCCCTCTGCTGATGGACCTGATGGGGAACTGCAGCAGAGGGCGGGTACAATGCTAGTTGGATAGCAATAGCCAATTTGCAATAGCCAATGCTACTATTGGCTATTGCAAATTGAAATAACCAATAGTAATGTCCCAATGCTTTTCAAAGGGAAAAATCTTTTTTTTTTTAAATTCTGACATCGATCGTGTCAGAATAAAGAAAAAAAGAAACAGCACTGTTTCTCTCCTTGGCGGCCGGGAGCGGGAGACTCCCGGGGCGCCAGGGAGAGTTTGCTGTTTGGAGATCAGTGTCCCTGGTTTGCAGTTAACCAGGGACGCTGATCTTACTGCAAGTGGCCGGAGCCGCTGTAAGATCACGGATGGCTCCGCCCAGCTGTCATGGCAGGCCTATGGCTGGCCGCTCGGCCAGCTTCGGCTTTCAGCACGGCTCAGCCGAGCCGATGCATATGCGGCTGAGCCGCTCGGCCATGATCGGGAGCTGTACGGGCTATTGTGAATAGCCCATACAGCACCCCTTCGGTTCTACTGAACCGAAGGGGTCCTGGGACCGAAGCTAGCCGAAGGATCGGCCGAAGCTACGGCCAGATCCTTCGGCAGCTTCGTGAATAAACCCCTATGTTGCGAAATAAAAATATACTATAGGGAAGCTAAACAAAGCTTTTTTTTTAATTATATTACCAATGGCAATATTATATATAACATATATATAGAATTTTGAACATATATTGTAACATAAGATTATCATATAGGTTTTTAAAATAAATTTCAAAAATTAACCTTTCCAAGAGGCATCTTCCATGCTTTCTAAAGTATCTTCTGTCCTGCTATCTTCTGAGGCACTTTTGGTTTGAAAACCTGATACAAATTCATATTCCTGCTCTGGACAATCGTCATTGAGTGGATTTAAAGTAAATATTTCTGATTCAAAGCTGAGAGTATTTCCAGGCACTTTGTCACTGTTGCTTAAGACAGGTTCACTGGGCAACTGAGATACATCAGAAATATTGCCTTGCACATCAAATCCAGTGTTAAGTCCTTTAACAGGTTCTTTCATGGTAAATGGGTCACACTTTATTTGTAACCTATGTTCTGCTTTGATTTGCCCTTCCCCTTTAGTGTGACTCTTTTGATCATTTGCAAAATCACTGCTATCTGCAGAGTAATCTTGTACATACTTCGTAATTGTTTCTGGGTTTGCTGTAAAAATAGTTTCCTCTATTATTTCTGCAGGTCTATATTTGTGGTGTTTCTCTACTTCATCTTCTCTAGTTCTAGTGATCAAAGGTGGTGGCATTTCAAGTTTGTATAAACCATGTCCAGTAAACAGGGCAGTTGATTGAAAAAATGCTTCGGGGCTAGTGTCAACTGGCGATGCATCAATATAAGGAAGCATGGCTTCATCGGTGGAGAACTGACGTAATATTGATTTCTTAGGTGCTAATGCCGGTGTTTTCTCATAGGGATATGTATCCACGATTATTGTTGGATCCTGGGTACATAGGATGTTAGTGCTTTCTTTATGCCTAGAGTCCTTGTGATGCTTGTTGACTGATCTCAAATGCACAGATTTCAGCACTGAAGGTGTTATGGCAAGGGTTGGGGATGAATTTGGATTCAGTTCATCCTCTGACACATTTTGATTGGTATGACTGAAAGCAGTTACCTGTGGCCTGTATGGCAATGGTTTATGTAACAAATGAAGAGCACTTAGGTCAAGATGACTAGGAGGTATAGTTGGAAGTTCTAGTTCTTTGCTTAAGAAACCACTGCCAGACTTAGAAGGATGCTGTAAAGAGGACTTCCTTTCTGGAACTTTTGGTTTTCTTCTACTACCCCCAGGTGATAATGGTCCAGAGAAAAAAGGTGTAGGGAAAGATGAAGTAGGTGTTTCGGACTGGCTGGAATAGCCACTTGATGGTGATGCCAACCCTGCCAGCTTTTCTGGTGAGGCTAATTTAAATTCATTCTCAACTGAGGGAAGAGAAGGAGTGGTGGCTCTAGATTCAGGTTGTGAGTTTTGTGACTCTGAACTTTCTGGTGACTTGATGCATTCTATGACGGTTGTACCCGTAGCAGTGCTTGAATTCGATAAAGACCTGTAAGGATCACTTGATTTCAAGTCATTGAGGAGCCATAGATCTGCATAGTGAGGCTGTTCACTTCCTTCATCTTTAAATGTTGCAGTGTCTTGGTTGATAAATTGTATATTTTTTGAATCATGGTCATCCTGATTTACCCAAGCACCATCCTGTTGATTTGGTGGAGACAGGTTTTCCACTCTAGAGGGTGCATTTGAAGTCTCAAGTGGCAGTTTCATTTCCCTGGAGGTGTGAAGCACTTGCTGTGCGCTGGTAATCTTTGGTTCTTTTTTCTCAAGAACATCTGTGTAGTTGTCAGAATTTTTCAAAGATGAGTTACGTTTTGGTGGTGGTGGCTTTGCCTTTGGTTTTTTAAAGGACACGTTCTGTATTTCATGTTTTCTGTGATCTACATAATGTTGCCAAACACTGTCTGTACTCATGGATGACATTCCAGTGTCCTGTTCATTCTCAGTCCCTGATGGTGCATAGCTACATATATAACTCCTATTACTATTAAGACCACAGTCAAAATGCATGGAGGTGTAATATCCTTCAGTGTCTACAGAGAAATGAGATCCTGTGTCTGCTTTCTCTGAGGCAGGTTTCTCAAGAAAACTGTCATACGTTCCTAGGCTAGTAAAACTTTGACAACCTAAACCATCTCCCTTTAAGTGCTGTGGGCTGAAATCTGGACGACATGAAGCATCATGGTGATGATGAAGATAATTCCATTCACTGTCACTTGTGTTGCTGTTAGGGTCATCAAGCAAATCTGCAACTGTTGATGTAAAGGAACTTGCCCTGTGTCCTCTAAGGCTATCCAAGTGGTCATCATTATATTGTTCAATGCTAAAGACATTTGACTCTTCACCAGCATTGGCAGCAGTATTTAAAGACAATTCAGAATCACAATGTGAAGAGCCAGTTAGTGGAGGGGATGCTGCTGGAGGTATTGTTTCTGAAGTCTGGGATGGACATGTGGAACTACTTCCACTCCAGTTTCCACTTGAAGACTGATGATCATCTTTCTGATCTATGTGTGTGCTCAGTAAAACTCCTGTAGTAGAAAAAGAGTGAACAGGACTTCCGAATGTGTCAGAATTTGATGAAATGTCACAGCTGCCTGAATCAGCCATCCTTGATAGCCTTGATCTCCCCCTTTCATTCAGTTGAGGGCTATGGTGAGAATATGATAATCCCAGAGATTGGTGTTCTGCGGAATCTTCACTGTTCAAATGGTCTTCTTTCTTCCTCTCTGAGCTAGTTATGTAGCAATCATCTTTATAACCAGAAGATTGTACATTTCTTTCATGATCATTACTTGTTCTAGCACCTTCTCTGGGAAGACTACGTGAACGAATCCGATTGGACACTGTTGTGAACATTTGGTCACCACTCTCAGTCAAAGCTGCAATGTTTCCTGCAGAATGCGAGAGTGATGCTGCCACTCCTTGGCCCCTCTGTGCTCTAATTCTTCTCCTTGACGGAGCAGCAATAAGAATATCCTCTGTTTGGCACTCTGTATCTCTGGTTCCAGATCTCCTATTTGAAGAGTTTGCAAGCTCAGGGTTGTTATGAACTATAATATTCCGCTCCCGTGCTACAGGAGACTCATCTGAATCTACAAAAAAGACATACAAATAAACATCAATCTTTATTTTTAAGTTACAGTCTTTAAATAAATTAACTAAAGCATTAGTTTTGTTAGACAGTATTTCAACTTATGGTCCTGGAGCAGCAGGTATTGTAGTACTAAGAAAGATAAATAATCATATGGTTGGCATTTTTTTTCTTGTTTCAGAAAGTTGAGTTTTAGATCAAGCAGGATTGTTCTTTGTAGGAATTGTATCATGTTTTGTATATATTTTCTTTTTTTATTATGTTCAGGACTTTTCCCCCCCCTTTGGTCAGTTTAATATAAAATATTGCATAGGCATGAATATTTTATAGTTAATATTTTCAGCCAGAAGGTGGAGCTACAGTGATATTTTACCATGCTTACTAGGCCAATCTTAATTAATTTGCCAAAAAGCCTGTCATTTATGTAGCACAAGTTCAAATGGCATACACAGCTTATTGAGTGGTGCATTGCCCCCCGCCTTCTCTCTCTGCTTTGTATGGCTCCATACAGACTTTCAATTAGAGAAAAGCAGTTTGAAAACAAGCAGCTGATGCTGTTCCTTCTCTTAAAAAAACATTAGTGCTCTATGACACTGGTGTCATTGAAGCACCTTAAGTTTTTATATATATAAACTAAATATTTATATAAATAGTAATAACAATGTATAAAACATAATTTTTTAAAAAAAGTTTTAAATAAAATTAAATAAACACAACTGATTCAAAACCATGATACTTTCCCTTTAAAGAAAACATGCTGAGAGAGGAAACGGAGGCTCACTTCCTTGTAAAACTGTAAGTTTAAGCTGATCCAATGGCTTCAGTAATTTTCAGGTTACTGTGTTAGAACAAGTTTGCAGGGCTCTGGTCTTACTCTGCCTTCAGTTGCTGTTTGTTTGTTCAATTCATTGACTTAGAAAATGTTGAAGATCAAGACAGCACCAAGCACATTTATAACAAGGTGAGTATAGCAGGCTAGATATTTCTTACAGAACAGCTTTACCTAAGTTACCAGTTCTTGGTACTGTATGTGATCTCAGCAAGTTTACTAAAAAGCATGTTTTGTTAGTAACTCTATATATTAAACTGTTACACAATAACATTTTAAAAAGGGTGAATATGACAGTAATTTCCTTCTATGCATCCACACATCTTAAGACAATGTAGTTAATTTACTAAAGGAAAATAGGTTGTTCACTTTGCAAGGGAATTTTCACTTAGCTAAGTGAATGTGGTGAAAAATCACATGCAAGGAAAATTTTAAAAAAAATGTTTTGCTTGCACGTGTTTAGATGATGGAAGTCATCAGAGCTTCACCTCATTCACTAAGCTAAGGGAAAAATTCCTTGCAAAGTCAAAATTCCTTTGCAAGGTGAATAGTCTATCTGCCTTTGGTAAATCAACCTCCATGAGTGCTGTTTTAGTTACTAAAAAGTACTTCTTTGACATGACCTCTGCATCACTGAAAAATGTATGGAATCTGGACTATTAGTTGTAGCCTTAAATGGATCAACTGAACCAAAAGCATCCTGGTGTGTTCAGACACGACTGGCCACAAGAACGGCCCTAGCTTCCTCATTTTCAGTGGACCTGTGCAGATCTTGAGCAGTTTATTTTATAATTCACCCTCCATATTAATGGAGTTTAAATCCTTTGGGGAAGTACACATAATAACATGGCTTAACCACTTGGCAAGTCGATGGTGAGAGCTATAAATTGCTCCTAGCTTGGCAGTCATGTAGTAGCTATAACATTAAACATATATATGCTAAATGAACAGTCAAACCTATTTCTTGTTGCACTCTTCTGGGAATTCCTGATATGGTTTTTCGCCTCCTCAGTTTCCGCCTTCTCTGCAGAACAGATTGGGAATGTACTAAAGAGCAACGTATGCTTGCTTCTCTATCAAAACCAACACCTGTAAATAGATATATGAGGCTTTATTAAATTTGTCCTTATTTTTATTTCCTTGTTTTTTAATAAACACAAAATTGTCCACATTTACACTGGATATTTAAGAAACTGCAGCACTCTGAGTTTCTGACATTTTGCCTGATAAAAGGACCCTGAAAAGTTCTGAAACGTTTTTCAGGCCATGATGAATGAATATTATATAAGACAAAAGACTGAAGATTTTGAAAAGTGGCAACATTTTAGTGCCTACCATTTTCCGTAGCTACTCCTCCTGTCTCATGTTTACAGAAGAAAGACATTAATTAATTGCAACCTTTTTCATGGAAAGCTGTAGTAGGAGCATTCAGTAGGGCAAAATGAATGTGCCATTTAAAGTTACACATAGCATTCAAACTTAAATGATCTTTTAGTAGGCTGACTACATAAAACTGAGATTTGATGCATGCTTGATGTTACTGCACTTGAAACGCCTTCACTGGGCTTTGCATTATGTAAGCCACATAGAAGCAAGTTATATATTTGCATTGATAGACTTCTGTCCACTAAATGATAATATTAACACTAATACAGTTCAGTGTGTGCTAATTTGGATTAAATGTATTACTGCTAAATATGTAATATAGGTTATATTTCATGTTATAGCTGGATTCTGAACTGTGTGTTGCCATTTAGAATAATTCACTCTACATGTTTTAAAGGATATTTCTACCTCCAGATAATAAGGGGAAACATAGTTAGGGACTCTCAGGGGTCCCTAACAATGGGCACTGATCAGCTGTTTACAGATAGCCTGTAAACAGATTCAAGACTACTAAGTCTAGAGCAGCTCTGTCCAAATAAGCCAAACCTCCATGAATTCTCCAAATCAAGCAGTGAATAACTTGAGTAAGTCTGAACAATATTTTCACACATGACTCAATCAAGAGTTCATAGTTTTAAATGCTAATTCCGTGGTGAAGGATCCCCAGCAAGCAATCACAATCTAATGTTCCCTGCTATTACTACAGTGAATTCGCATTGGATGCTATTGGTTACTACACTTAAAGAAGACCTATTTTAAAAAGAATACTTTATGTGATTCAGTTTGATCTCTTTTATGTGCTAAAAAGCATTACAATACAGTACAATATTCCTCTTTAGATGTTAGCACTTAGAAATAAGAACTCTTTGTTGAATAAGGCTGACAGTGTTCAGAGATGTCAACCTAGGGCACCCTGTTACTGCACAATACTGTCAAAAATGTGCTGGTATCCATTAAGAAATACTCATGTGTGCGTATGTTCTTATGTGTTTTAGCCAGATATGTTTTTCCTTTCTCAAAAGGCTTTTAGAATTTTACACAAAATAACTAATAATGTATAGGTTTTGTCCTTTCTAAACTGTTACTTTTCTTGTCCCCCTTTGCCTACATAGTACAAATATCCCTTGTTCCCTTTGTGAATTGTTCAAACCTTGCATTATGCTATGTGGGGACAGGAAAGCCATTGGTGTCTATGGGATGCTCTAAAAGCTCTCAGTGTGAATTCACATTACATAGACACAGCTGTGTCTACAATTGCAACAAGATACATTTTAATACATCTTTTTTTGGCAAAATGCCTAACTCATCAAGGCATAAAAAGGTGGTAAGTGGGCACGGAAGAAGATGGACGCTTAGCTCCAGAGCTCCGTCTCCAGATATCCCGAACGAAGCTACAATCTCCTGCTATCGACTACCATGGGGAAAATAGGCAGACAGGATGGAAGGTCTAGATCTCCTGGGTCGGATGGGACCCAACTGAGCCGACATTGAGCGACGAGCGACATTGAGCGACATTGAGCGACGTGTCGCGCGACATCGCGCAACATCTTCCTATTGGGCTGTATGCAATCAGGAGCAATATCGCTCAAAATCGCTCTAAAAAAGGGTCATGTAGAAGCGACAAGCTACCAGCGACAAGCTACAAGCGATATTGAGCGATATTGAGCAACATTGAGCGACGAGATGTGAACAGCTACATTGAAATGTATTGGTGAAGCTACATAGAGCGATATAGTGCGGAAATATGAGCGATATCGCTACAAAAATCGCGCGATAAATCGCTCAATGTGAACGGGGCCTAAAGGAAGAAATCTTACAACGGGCCCGGGCCAAAGCAGTGGTCAAGTATGATGGCTCCGAGGTGAAGCTGTTCCAAGATCTATCCAACATCACCCTGCAACAACGTAGAGCCCTACGCCCGCTATTAGACCACTTGCGCAAACTTGGCATTGCATACCGCTGGAAGTTCCCATTCTGCCTGTCCGCACTGCACAGAGGCAGAACCGTTACCTTACGCCTACCTGAAGAAGCGGGGGACTTCTGAATATCCCGGCCGTCCAAGTCCAAGATTGGTATGAAGACCTCAGGATGCACGCTGCCAACGACAGGCCCAGCCGCAGACGAGAGCGGTCACCATCAGTGGTAAGTACCATGTTTCTTTTTTAAATTGAATCCATTTAATTTATTTCATTCATGTATTCATTAATTCATTCAAGTTAGTTATTTTGCGAATATAAACTCACATAATCAAAGTAACATTTATTAATTATTAATGTTATGTATTTATGGTTGTGGCAAACAAAAAGGACACACAAATTATAGCTGCTATCCTACAAGTGTGATGTTACAGAATTGTTGGTATTGCTGAGTAACTAAAGCCACTAAAATTCCTGTTTCCTATATAATGCTGATTAGGATACAAATATATATTTTGAGACATGGCACATCAATGTAACATTTGCATTGAAGTGATGTTAGGTAAACTTATCAAACACTGATCCTGTTAACAATGCCATTTGTTATTTGAATGGGTATTAGCACTTCACCAGGTCATTAAATGAATTACGTATTAATATTAGGAAACTAAACGGTGATATATGAACAAGATATTCCCTACCTTTTAAGGGTCATTGGAAGACCAAATAGTTGTCCTACAGAACCAGACAACATTTTCAGTCAGTAACTGACATACAAAGTACACCATTCTGATGTGAGTTACCACGATCAGATGATTTTCTAAACTAACTTCTATTTCAAACACAGCTTTTGTTCCATAGACTGATCCAGAAAAAATGTTGGTAAACACCACAAGCCTTACTTAATATAACATTTTGAAACACATTGTAAACATACAGTAAGAGTTAATGGCTGTTTTGTATTCTTTTACTAATGCTCTCTCTGTATATAATTAAAAATAACATATACAAATGTGACACAAGGATGCAATGGGGGGAATTTATCAATACTGGAGCAGACAAAATCTGGAGCAGCTGTGCATGGCAACCAATCAGCTTCACTCTTCAATCTGTTCAGTTGGGATTTGAAAATGAAAGAGAGAAGCTGATTGGTTGCCATGCACAGCTGCTCCAGATTTTGTCTGCTCCAGTTTTGATAAACTCCCTTCAATGTATTTATTTGAAAGAAAACTATTCCTGTGCAAAGTGTACCCATAGGTTATCCAAATGTGATAGGAATACAGCCAATCCATTTACAAATAGCTACAAACCACAAGCATGCAAATTCACAGCTGAAAAATTATCTAAATAACTACCAATACAACGTGCTAAAAATGACACTAAACTCTGTAGTTAAATGATGTGTGTTGTAAAGTAGCCACCAATCCAAGCTTTGCTCCCGTGTGGGCTATAATCTTAATACAAATTAGTGAAATAAATATGAGATTGTAGTTCATCCTGGGAGCAAGCTTGGAGTGGTGACTACTTACCCAACACACACAGGGACCATGGGGAACAAAAGTAGCCACCCTCCAGAAGGAAGGCCAGTGTCAGCATTCAGAGATGATATGAGAATCTACAGCTGAGTGATACACAAATTAGATACATTTTTGTTAAAAGTTTAGGTACTTGAATGTATTTTTTTAGGGTTTAACTCCTGAGTTTAATTTCACTTTAATATGTGCAATTTACTTCTGTCCACTCAGATTACATGCTGAAAATAAAACCAAACTATTTAAATTAACTAGCTATTGTAAGGGTAAAGGGCCTGCAATCCATTAAATTTATTCAATCTAAATCCAATCAAGGTGTTATTTGCACTACAAAGCTGCTGGTAAATCTAAAAGAAATTATACATTTAGATGATGTCATTTGTGACAAGTGCAATGCCAATCAGATATAAGTAAAAATGCACTAATGCATTTCTTAAAATGATGAAATCTAATTATAATGCAACTAGCATATCTACCTGAATGTGTCTTAATGTTAGCTTCCTGTAAGTCTGTGTAGAGCAGAACTGGGAAAGGGGGTGCTAGGAGCTTTGCTGCAGTGCACAGCATTGTCAGTGGAACACAAAGACCTTGCTCACGAGGAGAGAGCAGAGTGCATGTAATTACTCATCTATGTTCTGCTGCTTTTTCATTATCCACTCAGAAAGCTGCAGTGTGCCATGCAGTGGTGTAACCAGAGTTCTGGGCGCCCGGGGCAAAACATTTTTTCCGCCCCCCCCTATTTTATATAAACAACCACTGGAACTGTACCCTGCACCTCCCCCCCCCCCACACATGTTTTTATTTTAATTTTTCAAATTTTAATATTTTATTTTTTTAGAAACTTTTTCATTTTTTAAAATTAATTTTTATTTATTAATTAATTTTTTATTAAATATTTTTATTTTTTACTTTACTTTTAGGGGCTTCGGGGAAATATTGGGGGTCTAAACAGACCCCTGATATTTCCCTTTAAAAATAGAAAAAGAGATTGAGGACACAGAGTCCTCAATCTCTTTTTCTGTGTCCCCTGTTATCAATGAACAGGAATCCTTTATGAGTGTTCCTGTTCATTGATAACATGGTATGTTTACTATAACTACAATTATGAATGAACAGGAGGAGATGTAGATCACTCCCATTCATTCATAATTGAGGATATAGTATACATACCAGGTCCTCAATTATGTACAAACACTCAGCAATCACTGATCGCTGAGTGCTTGTACCCGTTCTCCTCTCTGACACACACTGTCATAGGAGGCTGCAAGAGGAGAGCCCAGCCTCCTGTGACAGCGCTGGCTGTCTCCGCCCCCACACCGCTCTGCTGCACTGTGATAGGCGGCCGAGCGGTGTGGGAGGAAAGACACCGGCCGCTCACAGCGCTCGTCCCGCAGCACTCGGCCGGCTGTCATTTTCTCTCTGATTCCTTTCATCCCTGCTGGGCACTGCTCTGTGTCCCAGCGGGGATGAAAGGAATCACGGCCGCGCCGACAAAACGGCAGGAAAATGTCACTTTCGGCATTTAGCCGAAAGTGCCATTTTCGGCCGACGCCCCCCCTTCACTTTTCGCCCGGGGCCCGCGCCCCTGCTGCCCCCCCGGTTGTTACGCCACTGGTGCCATGGACCAAGCTATACTGCTCTACTAAAATGGAAGCTGAGGACCAAGCTATACTGTCTGACAGTGTTGGCTGGATAACAGGACTGGATCAACAGTATTATAATTTTTTTAGATTAAGCAGTTCACATATATGTGTTTTAGGTGTGTGATCATCTGCTTGGCTTTTTCCAGTTTCAAATAACATAATTTTACTGCACATCTTGACAGAGTGATTAGAAAAAAAGCCTATTCACTGTAGCATTTAAATTAGATTAGTGATTAAAGGGAATATTTTAGGCAAGGTTCAAGCTTTGCAGAGGAAACTTAAGCTAATTCAACAAAATGTAATATTCCAGCTATGGTTGGATTCTGATAAGCTGAATTATTCAGCAGATCCAAATATCTGTGTATTCCAGGAACAAGAACTTAGTAATGATTACAGAAAGTGGGCAGCCTAGGACAAAATAGTATGTAAGAACCACAGGTTTTCTCTGAAAAGAAAGATCTATTTTTCCAGAGTCTGATTACTATTGAACACATTTACTTCTATCAAAGTATAACATAGATACTTTACCCGAGACATTGATGGGGATAATGCATGACGTAATCACTTGGGACTCCTGTTTCATCTTCTCCTCAGGGGTGGGCAGAGGCAATGCTTTATTCCAGTTGGTTTGTTTATCCAGTGTTGATGGAACATTAAGAATTGGATTTTTTGGCCTTTGTCCTAAAACCATTTCATCTTCATCCTGAGGTGGATGAGCCTGCAAAATTCACACACATTAGTATTGCCCTATAAATGCTTCAGAGCTCCCCAGGCATTTATTTAACCCATGCTAGTTTTGTCAGTAAAGAAGCAACACAAAATAAAGGAAACTAATATTTATATTGTACATACAATGATTAAAGTCCAAGAAACAATAACATAGATACTCAATGTGAAATGGAAAAAAATGGAATGGAAAGAAATGAAAAAGGAGAGGTCAATCTTCTCTGAACTCTTCCTGAAGAAAAGGATTAGCAATAGAGATATAATGATAATGATATGGATAAAATAATATGTTATTTTACTTTACAAAATTAGAATTTGGGGTAAGGATACATTCCTACATTATAGAATCTTCGCTTTTATGAGATTTTTTTTTTAGTTGTTAAAGTTAATTACCAAAATATCCCGTTTTATTTTATGGTGGATTTATTTTGTGTTAACTATTCTGCATTGAATATTCTTTAGTTTGAATGCTGTTGCTCACTAATGCTAGCTTCCATCTGTTCTTAGTTTACAGACTTTAGACTCTCAAGAATATTAAAATAGCATGGAGCGACACTTACCTTTCCAGTGTTTCCTGGCCATATAAATTAAATGCCACATGAAATGGGATTTTTAATATATCTCTGCAGAAAATCATACAACTTGTACTACTTTCTTCTCTCATCTGCAGCTTTTGTGTTCATTCCCAGCAGACATGAATAGCTCATACAAGCTACAAGCACAAAAGACTGTGTTTCCTAGGTAACTTGGTGGGAGAAAGTTTGTTGCATGCTTAAGGGGAAAAGGCTAGATTTTTGATGGCTCCTTTCCTGAATTACAATAGACCCCTGGACAATGAACGTGTAGTGATCTTACTACTGTCTAACAAACTATTATTATTCTTCTATAAGAACCACTGGTGTAGTGTATAAGTGGTCAAGTATTTCCTGCATACACTGTATTCACTTTAGCAAAGCTGTGGATGTATTTACTTTTTGTCATCAACAGAAATAACATTAATTAGCATTAAGTAACAGCCCAATACTGTGTATTTGCATTTTTCTCTCTTAAGAGATGACTCAGTCTTGTTGCTGTATGCAGCTATATATAAATATGATTACAGCTCTCCCCTATATAATGCCTCAAAAATGTATCTCCTCTAAAGTGTAATATATTACAATAATCACAAAATATAAATATAACATACAAAATGTGAATCAATATCAAATCAGTGCAAATACCATCAGTAACATACAGTATAAGCCAAGTTCAGTGTTTATTAAAAATATAAATTTTGTTGATCCCCATAAAGAATCCTCTGTGAAAAAAATGTGCAGGAAGAGGGACCATCCAGTCCTCAGCACAACAGTGTACCTCCTCCAAAATGCCTTCTTAAGTGCTTGCCCTTTAGTAGTTGACTGAGAACTTTTTTTTTTAAAGTTGTTCCATATTGTTTTTAACAATTGCAAAAATCGGTACTATTCAGATCTCTTGGTGCCTTTTGTGCATCATGGTGAGTCCTTGGAAGTTGTAAGGAGGAAGGACAGAATAATTCCAAAGCGGTTTAAAAACAATGCTAGTGGACCTGCTTAATTTTTTACGTTTTTTCACAAAGGGGTCCCTATGGTTGATGGTCATATAAAAGAGCACCTTGGGAGTAAGTGCACTGTTATAGTGATGATTGGATGGTTGCTTTCCCTGCACATTTCTTTTACAAGGATTCTATATGGGTGTCAACAGATTTTATAATGCTAACAAACACTGAACGTGGCTTTTATTTTCCTTATGGTATTTGCACCTGAAATTAAATCCTTATGGTATTTGCACCTGAAATTAAATTGCCATTGGTTCACATTTTTATGTAATACTATATATTTATATATTGTGATTGTTGTAATATGTTGTACTTTAGAGGAGATACTTTTTTGTGGGTTTATATAGCGAAGCACTGTATGCATATATTACTTTTTGTGTTAAGATGTCATACTGCTATTTTATAAAGCTGCTATATATGTTTAGGTTTTATTTTTATTTTTTTTTGCATTGAGCATTGACTTGTTTTATTGTGACAACATATGATTGTAATCACATATACCTATACTGGTTTATTAACAATTGCTGGACAACCCAAAATTAGTTCTTTTTTCTTCCTTACGGTTATTTTCAGTAAAGGATGGAGTGGTTGAAAATAATTAGTATAAACTAAAGTGAGTTTCCCTTTGTAGAAAAAGGGTCCCAACAGCTCATGAGTAGCAGTGTGATGCTCAAATTGATACACTTTGGATAGATTTAAAGGGGGTACCCATTCCTGTCAATTTAATAATTAAGTAACATTAATTAAATAATATACTGGTACTGGCAATTTTGGGCACAGGCAACTGCCTAGTGTACATTTTGGGAAATACTATTCATTAACTACCAGATCCATAATTACAAAGTTGATAGAAATATCAGTATGTAGAACAGAGAACTAAAAAGCACCTTGACTAAAACAGCTTGGTAGAGTAATATAGAGTAGAGCTGAATATATTTACAGATCAAATGCAACATGGTTATGACGGAAAAAATCAGGACCCAATATAACTTGGCCTACATGAATAGTTAAGATTAATATAATTTCAGAAAAGTTTGTTGACCTGATTTTGAATCATATAGACTACACCAGATAAAGAAGAATTAGTAGGAAAATATAGGAAGTTGGAAAAGGAGTTAAAGAAGTTAATATTAGGGTATAGCAATACTTAAACACTTAAACTTGCTTTTTTTAATACCTTTCTACTCCATGGGGTCAAATGGCAACATTCAGTAGGGGAGGGCGGACGGGTTCTGTTAAACTAAGAATATAAAATGTGGATAAGAAAATTAAAAGCATGCATGGATGGTAAAATAAAATGTGGCATACACTTTAGCAAACTACATAATAAAAGTAGAGATCAATGAATGAATCTGAGAACTAGGCCACTATGGGCAAATTGGGTGAATCTGATTTTTTTCAGTTTTTTTTTCAGATTCTCTTTACTATGAGGCCCATTTACAATGGAGAGTGGATATCGCTATCCACTTTTTAATGAACACCAGTGGACACCTGGTATTACTCTGCACCTGAAGTCTGCACGGTATTCTTAAATGCAGACTACAGCATGGACCCTGAGGAAGCCCACTGAGTTATCTCTGCTTAATGCTGCAGGGAGTATTCCATAACTGGAAAAGAGACCGTTCTTGTGACTTGGAGAGGTTACGATATCAACTAAGAATCATACCCTTGAACCCAGGTTACCAATATTAATGAACTGCATGATTCTCTTCAGACTGAACAACTTTAAGGTGAACTGAACATTCTGAAAAGATGAGATTCTCCCAGTTTGCTGGATTTGCCACAGATCAATTCGCTCATCTCAAAAAGTGATTTTTACATAAAATAAAGGATGAATAAATGTGTATTATAATGTGGATAAGTGATGCAAACTGACAAAAATAACAAAACAACTTTACATAAATAATGCAGATTCCAATTTAGTGTACCAACATGAGTTTTACATTTAAAAGTGCAAATAAACTGAGGCAGATGTGTTGTAAGAATAAATGTCCCACAGGTAAATGGTTTGCCCACCTAAAACTCTCATTTGACTTTATGATAGATAATGGAGAGTTAATGGAGATTATTTCAAAGCCACAGTATTTATTTCTTCATTTTGTTTAGAGTAAGGAATGGTCAAAGACGCTTGTCAGAGGCGGAGCTGTCTGTATCCCACTGAGGAGTTTTCCTGGTATGGAAGCACCTAGGGACTATCCCCAAAGCAAGTGGAAATCCCCTCCTAGACATTTGTCACCAGAACAGTTATCACCATTCAAAGATTTGCCCTCATCACCTGTTCCAAAGTGAACAGTAAAAATGTTGGATTGCTCATTGTTTTCTGTTCCAGTGGTGAGCAGGAGAAATAGAAATGGTGAATATCCTGAACACCCCTATTCAAAACCTAAAAATACATTTTTACTTTATATATACTTTAAACCCCTTTAAGGGATTCCTGAGGTGAGATCAGTACACTTGAATTCCCAGACCTGTTTCAGTCATTATAAGCTGAAGGTGGCCCAGTCTTCCTGTGAGTGTTCATTTAATGTTATGGAAGGAGAATGACAATTCCACGGTGAGTGGGAATACTTAAAACTATATGGTGGCAAGAAGAAGTCAGAAAGTACTTAGTTCCCCAGACTTCACCTGACACTAAACTAACACTTTTGGTTAGCTTCCCACTTTAGTTTAAAGCATCATACATACTAGGTATACTTTCTTATTATGTCAGGGATATGGACATTGTAAAATCATCTTCTCTATCCTTAAGAACACAGATGACCTTCAACTTCAGTTGTATTACCTATAAAGATAAACACTTTATTCTGTTATGAACTGAAAAATGTTCAGAAGATTGATAGCATGACAACTTGAAAACAGAGATACCATGATCAGATATCAATGTCCTCCACTGAGCATTTCTGTGTTCACCTTAGCATGTCTACGTGGGTGGGGATCACTTCTCAATAATATGTTTCTACATTTAGACAGTATATAGATACTACAGTATATAGATATTTCAGTGACAGAAACAAGGAATTATTTAACATACATTTTAACCTCATTACCAGTAATGTTTATTATTCGCAAATATTAAAAAACTTTAAGTCGAGAATCTCAAGTAGATCAATCATTTGGAGACTTGAACAACATGTAAGATTATGTCTAATAGTATTATTAAAGAAGAACTCCAGATTTTAGAAAAATGATCCCTTGCATTTAGGGTACCCCGCCCTGCAATGGTTAACTGCCCGTTTTTCTCTAGGGGCTCAAATAAAGAAGAAATACTCAATGGATCCTTGATCCTGCCTGGCTGCTAGACCGGTCTCCGAACCTTCTTCTCCCCCAGGCTCCGGCAGTCTTCATCACGCCATCATGTCTAATACAGTCCATTCACCTGTATTAGACGTGAGGGCACCAAGGGAAATACCACAGTGAGAGCAGATGAGACCGATCACCAGGACTGAGGATAGGGGGAGTATTGCTCCTTTATTTAAGCCCCTAGCGAAAAAAAAGCAATTACTTTTTCTAAAACCAGGACTTGTATGACCAGTCAACCAAAAAAATATATAGGAACCTTGGCATATATGAATACAGAGAAAATAGGGCTTACTGGTTGATGGTCACATTCCTTTACCTCTCTTCTCTTTAGAGTATGAGCTGATGGGTAGGAAGGAAGAGGAGGAGCAGCAAAAACAGAGCCCAGAAACCGCCTCTCTCTGTTGTCTGCTCGGGCACGCTGCTCTGTTATTGATAAAGCAAAAACAGGACTCAGTAAATAATCATTTATTTTTATAGTTCTCTATACAGTACACAGAATCTATATATCAGTCTCCCCATGAAGGAGCATACAGTCATTCACATATTATAAGCTAAAAAAAATTAAACATATACTTTTTGCAGTTTAAATTGCTATTACTTGGGTTAGGGTTTCATGGCTTCTTAAGGGTTAACATTTCTACATCTCTCTCTTATGTAACTTTAGGTAGGGTTGTGAGGGGTGAGGGGCTTCTCTGTTGTATGTTAATGAAGTTAATGAGAGAAACACACTCCTCAAATTTCAGTCCTAAGTCTTTCTGTAAGGACAGATCATCGTGAAAGTACTGAAAAAAACCTGGATACAGCCATTTTGCCTGCTGCAACAAAACATTGAAAAGGTTTTTTACAAATTATTTTTCGGTATGCTGTGTGAATAAATAATATATAGAGGGGTTTTCACAAATTTGACTGCAAAAGTCGAAATGCACTTTAAAGCTAACCACAAACCCATATGACCTTTATCAATACATTGAGCCCTTTTTAATCATATAAAAAGGTAAAAAAGAACACCCATCTGGTGCCTGGTCACTTGCCCAGTGCTGAAGCATTGGTCACATACAAGGCTTTTCACTAAAGGGAGAAGAGTTTGGAGAAGGCAGGAAAAGTGAGCAATCTAGGACAACATAGCTGAACTTGAAACATTCTCCAATTCAGCTCACTTTCCAGTTTACCTATGTTGACATAGATTGCTCACTTCTCCTGCCTTCTCCAAACTCTTCACCCTTTTGTGAATAACCCTGATAATCTCTGCCAAATTACCTTGGTGACTAATACTTCAGCAGAAAAGAGCCACACCCTAATCCAAACAAGGGCAATGAAGCACTGCATCTAAGATTACCACATTTTCTAAATTAAATCTGGGGACACCTTACTGACCACGCCCACTTGTAGTCACACCCACAACAGCACACAACCATTTAAAGCTACATCCCCAAAATCACGTCCCCATTTTTAGCATACCCTGAAACAACTGCTCCCAGACATCTGGAAGAGGGAGCAGACATTGAAGATGTAAAGATAAAGTGCCCTTGGCACTATAAGGAGAGTAATCATGTGCCGCAAATCATGTGAGCGGTCAAATTACGAGTGGGAGCGGCTGAAGATGCGTGGTTAAATAAATAAACTAGCCATAGCTTCGGCCGATCCTTCGGCTAGCTTCGGCCCCAGGACCCCTTCGGTTCAGTAAGAACCGAAGGGCTGCTGTAGGGGCTATTCACAATAGCCCGTACAGCTCCCGAACTTAGCCAAGCGGCTCAGTTGAGCCGGAGGCATATGACTCGGCTCGGCTGAGCTGCGCTGAAAGCCGAAGCTGGCCGACAGCCTGCTTCTGAAAGCTGGGCGGAGCCAGCCGTGATCTTGTAGCTGGCTCCGGCCACTTGCAGAGAGATCAGCGTCCCTGGTTACCAGCTAACCAGGGACACTGATCTCCAGACAGCAAACTCTCCCACTCCCGGCCGCCCAGGAGAGAGACACTGCTTTTCCTTTTTTTTTTTATTCTGATACGGACCTGTGTCAGAATAGAAAATAAATAAATCCTTTTTGGTCATAGGAATGCATTGCTAGATTCCTATTGGCTATTTCAATTTGCAATAGCCAATAGTAAACTAGCATTGTACCCGCCCTCTGCTGCAGTTCTCCATCAGGTCCATCAGCAGAGGGGGGGTACAATGCAAGTTTACTATTGGCTATTGCAAATTGAAATAGCCAATAGGAATCTAGCAATGCATTTCTATGGGCAAAAATGTATTTCGTTCGGCTCACTTCACTTCAGGTCGGTGTTTCACTCGGCTGCCTACGGCAGCTTAGTGAATAGACCCCTAAGTGACACAGAGTTCTACAGGCAGCCATCACAGTATGTGCAAAATTGACTGTATATGACTGCAGTTCACTGCTCCCAGGGATGCCGCTGGGGATGTTTGTTTCCTGGGACTGTCTTCCCCTCCCTGGGAAATGAGGACTTATGGTAACCTTAACTACATCTCTGTGTTTTGAAGCAAGCAGTTTACTTTTGGTTTGCATTTAAAGTTTAACTACCTGATGTTCAAGCAGGACCAGCCAGTCAATAAACAGTGGTCAGTAAAGTCCATATAATCAATGTCTCAGCATAGGTCATATAAGATTGTCAGTGGAGGGATACACAATTAGACATATTTCATGTGTTGTGCTCTTTTTTTACATTTCATAAAAACATTTAGGTTGAACATTACATAGTTACATAGTATTTGAGGTTGAATAAAGACATTAGTCCATCAAGTCCAACCTATTAAAACTTGGACTTGATGGACTAAATCAAGTCCAAGTCTAATCCCTTTATGGGTAAATCTAAATCCCATAAAGGGATTTAGATTTACAGGCCTACAGTGAGAATCACTGTAACTAAAAATGGAAAATTTTAAGAAAAAGGAGTTGATATGTATGCTCAGCGCCTTTTATTCAGCAAAAAACAATAGGTACCTCCCGAAGTATTCTTGAGGACCCTGTGGTCTCATATATGACTTTTCCAAAAATAAACAGGTAGCTATATAATTTTTTTAGTAACCCACTCTTCTAGGTTCATCCCTTACCATCTCATACAGAAAGGTGAAAAGAAACTTCACTACTCCAATGAGAAATCCAGCTGTTGCAGGTAAGAGATCATGTTTTGCACTTTATAAGAATGAAATTGTTTTCCTAAGTAACCAAGAGGCTTGCCAAAACAGCTGTAACTTAAACATAACTCTTTCCATCTCCCAGTAAAGAGTATCAGTAAAAAGGCATGGGTGATAGAAGTCTCAGACATCTGTTTTTTTTCCAGGCCTCATCAAAAGTCACATGATTGACTGGAGAATGCGAAAGTATGATAGGGATTTTACAATGTTAAAAGCTGAGTACACCTTCTCCTCACGGACTGTACTTTGAAAAATGAAAATACCTTTGTCACATGAAGCTTTTACTGCAGCAATAATGCGCAGACTGGGAAGCCACACTTTTCTGATATAATTACTCCTGCAGGGCTGAGAAGCCAGAACAGTGGATCCCACATTAGCTGACATGAAGACATCATTTCTTGAATATTCCTTTCCAATTTACATGCAGCAGTTTTATTCAATTCAAAAATATTCTAGCCTTTGCAGAAATATTTCCAATTACTAATAAAAGTCAAATATACACACCTCTGCCTTTGGGAGGCTGTGCAAATCAGATTTATGGCTGCAGCTGTTTAGAAGAACATTAATCACTTGCAGTGCCACTAACAAATTAAAAAATCAAAGCTGAACGTGCAGCTTAAAAAGCACATGGTGACCCAGTTTCAGCCACATGTTTAAAGGAAACCTGTCATGAAAGAAATATTGGGGCTGATATTGCTGAAGTCATTACGAAAATACTAGTTGTCCAGATATTATGCTTATATGCTGAATATTGACATAAATATTTTCTAAGTCACTGACCCAGAAAAGAATATGCAGATCAGGAAAGTCATAGTAAATTAACAAGTCCCTATCTGCATTACTTTAAGTGACTGAAACTTTTGACCTGCTGTGCAGAAACATGCCACTTTTGAGTGGCATGTTTCTGCACAGCAGGTAATCTTTCAATAATTAAAGTGTATTTATAACTAGGAACAGTATAAATGCATTAGGTAATATGAGATCTAGTTAGTTATTAGGAGTGATGATTTACCTCTACGTGTGGAACGCAGATTTTGCTTGGCATGGCGATGGAGCTCTTCCACACAAGGGGGTCTAGTGGTTGGCAGGAAGATGTTCCTCTGCTGGTGCAAAGTTGTCTTGTAATACACGCTCAGCTTGCTCTCTGCATCCAAGTTCGATACAGCTGTTTATAAAGACATAATTATTGATACATTAATAATTGGTAGATTAGACATGATAGGTCATGTAAGAAGCTGTTTCACAAACTGTACCATGCAGACTCAAAACATTAAGCTGTATGTTGCTGTATTATATCTAACGCTTTCATTACTATGCCATTTTATATTCCTAACCCAATAGCAGCCAATAACACCTTCAATGTTTTTTTTCAAATAATAAAGTTTTATTGGTTTTAAGTGTTACGTATAACAAGTACACGGTACTAGTAACAAGTACAACAAGTAACACCTTCAATGTTTGATGGAGGATTTGATTGCTCCCCCAAACGTGTACTATATTGCTAGAGGCTCCTGGAACATTTGCTGCTATATGTGCATTTTGCCATAGTAATATCAAGAAACACCTAGCTTTCAATATACAAGGATTGTCAGTGGCCAGTTAAAAGATGTACTGTATTCTGATTGATTGCTGTAGGGTAAAACTGTGCACACATACACTGCACATTGCAGAGCCTTAATAAATAAGACCACATCTGGCATATGTTCCTAGAAGCCTTAGAAACCTCTTGGGGCTTATAGAAAAGAACAACTTCTATATATTAAGGTCTCGTTCACACCTAGGCGTATTGCATATGTGCGTCCGTTGCGCGTTTTTTACCGCGATTCGCGGTAAAAAAAGTTGCGTTTCCGAAGGCTACTTGGCTGTATCCCAATGGAAACGCACAACAAAACGGCCCAAAGTAGTACCTGTACCTTTTCAGGCGTGGGCCGTTTTGTAGCGCGTTAGGGACGGGCGGAAATACGCCAAGGTGGGTACGAGACCATTGAATACAATGGTATTTATATTTTTGAGCGTTTTGTAGAGCGTTCGTCGAGCGTAGAACGCGCTACAAAACGTTCAGGTGTGAACGAGGGCTTAAGAAATAAGTGTACAATCTGTATTCTAAATGCTATATAAATACATCAGTCAGCAACAAACTCAGCTATAAAGACTGTATGACCCTAAGTCACTGGTATAACAGCAGTCATCACATTAGATCATATAGTTCTAATATAATTTTATACTAATTATTGCACATTTCACATTTAGTTCTTGGCCTGGTACCACTCAGTAGGTACAACACTTGTCATATACTTATATTAAACAGACTTGGATCTGCATCTTCAGAGGGATAATATTCCCTGCTGTGATGGCTCCTGTTTTACCAATGACTGATTTGGCGTTCATATGATTTTCATGGCTTTGATTAGTTGGATGATTGGGAATTGATGTTTTTATGCAGTATTTCAAATTAGAATTGTTCACATTTCTTTATAGTATAGTAAAATTGTTTTTTTTATCTCGTTTTATATGCACTATTAACCCCTTTGTTCTTTTCCCTAATGTAGCAATCTTCTTTTGATTTTCAAGCATGAGTGTCTGAGAGCATTACATTCTCCAGAAAGCAGTGGGGCCACCATGCATGCATAGGGATCCAGTTCATTTAATAGGTTTTGATATTACTCTTTTTAAACCAAATCCACAGATTATATCTAAGACTGCTTATCATGTTTATTGTGCCTTTTTGATGATGACTTTGCTATACTATTGCAAATTACATGATCTAAAGTAAAAAAAACAACTAAATAAGCAATAAATAAACTAAATAAATAAGCATTATTTATTATACCGCAATAACCTAAGCTTCCTCAAGGGCTGTCCAAACTCCAACAGCTAAATCCATCTGAGGATGTGCATCTGATCAACAACATGTAGGAAAGGCACTATCAAATTAATAGTCTACCTATTTGTTGCTGACATATTTGAACAACCATTATAATTAAGTGCACATAATGTATTTACAAAACATATATTAGCTTAGGCAGAAGAATACAGAGCATGGAAACAGCACACAAAAGGTATTGGAAGCATTGCATGTCATTTGTGATTTATGGCTGTTCTTCTACTGATATCTCTTGTGAATATTTAACTCCAGACATAACTTTCAAAGAGGAACCAAGCTGTCTGGCATCAAAGAGTTAATTTTAGACTTGATAAACTACAGTACTCCACATGAACACAATACAAATACAGACTCTCTCTGTCATCCAAAATAAATAGCTGGCTCTGGCATCTTTTGGATCTGTATTTGCTCTGGAATTTCCTTGCAATTAAAAATGGAAGAATCATTTGAGGCTAAAAAAACTTCAGAATAACGAAATAAATGTAACTTTTGTCGGTGTCTATTTTTTTTTTGCAGGAAGATAGCAAATTAATATAACTGGATATAAAAAGCTCATTCCACTGAAGTTCACCTAATTCACATCTGTAATCCTGTATGGTAGGTTTAGATCAGGCATATCAAACTGGTATTAATCGGACAGGATGCAGCTTTCTCACTGCTTTGCTGGGCTTCTCTTTGTGGAGCTCAGGATAAGGGGGAAGATACAACAAGGCAAAGTACAATTAGGGCCGTCCCTATAGTGAGGCAGCCTAAGACTGTTGCCACTCTGCTGCACAATGTTTGCAGTGTGCCTGCCACCCCTTTTACGACCAAAGCATCCCAGGTTGCTAAGAGCTGGGTGAGGAGATGTGTAAGGGCTCTTAGCAACCTGGGATACTCTGGCAGGTGTCCTGGCCAACTCCTGCCCAGCTCACTGATGTCACTTGTTGCCAGGAGCTGGGTGGGACATAGGCTAAAGCCAAGCCAGAGCTTAGCGTGATCCACCAGCACTATCTAACTGCCCCCCATCGCACATACACCATCGCACCTGCCCCCCCGCCACCGTGACTCTGCACCACCAGCAAATAAATCCCCTCTCTTCAGGTGGCGAATAGGCTAGGGACACCCCTAAGTTAGTTAATAAGGCTACACAGTTTTAATTTTTTAAATTTTAATACATTTATAAATGGAAGGAGTCTTTGTTCCCAACAAAGTTTAAAAAAGTCGGTAGCCCACAATACCCCTTTATTAGACTTAAACCTCCCATAAATCCCGAAATCACTACACATCCTTCTGGGTGAGAGAGAAGTCAGATTTCTAGAATGGGTAACTATGGGTATCTCTCATTTCTTACAACGTTTAGGGTCTTGTGTTCCATGATCTCCTCTCTGTTCACCAACTTGGAGTCTGAGTCCTCCTGCTACAGTAGCGGTGTTTGTACCCTTCATGTTGCATCCTGTATAATATAAAAAAATGCAACATGGGGTGCTACCTTCTTGCAATCTTGTCAGTGCAGGTGTGTAACTTAAGCATGGAGGTCTCCAAAGAACCCCTTGTACTGACTCTATCTCAGGGCAAACAGCAGCAGTTGTCCACAAGATTCAACCCAGTTAATCTCCAGCTTCTGCAATATGAATCTCCTTGGCGTGCCTGTTCCATCCCATAGTTATGACGTCTATGGGCACTTCCTGGTAAAGTAAGCTTCTCATCAACACATTTTTTTTAAGACTTAAGCTTTTCATCTTCATGAGCATGGAGTCGGGACTGACTTCATGTTATGCATCATGACACTCCAAGAGGAGATAATACTGAGGCTTAATGCCTTATTTCACAATAACAACACCAATGTCACTAAGCTAATTAACACACAATACATGCCAAAAACATCTAGAAAGAACTGATAGGGTACAGTACACTTTTTATTTACTTATCAAGCTGCAATAGTGGGGTTTTCTGAACACACAATCCACAATTGTTTTGAATAAAATTGCTGCCAATGGGCAAGTATGGTACAGGAAACTCAAAAACATTTGTAACACTTTCGCCGTTCCTTTTCCTATGCTATGGCCCTCCCAAAAACAACAATAGACAAAACAACAAATGCATTATCATTTCCAACTGCATCTTAAATCCAGACCATATGGATGCCTAGATTTTCCAAAATACCCAGAGGGATGTCACAGAGGGATATTGCTGTCCAAGTCAATGCAATGTCTTTTTACAATTAACCTTATAAATACAGTAATCTATTTAAACATGATGTATTAATTACCCCAGGCAGGGCTAAATAGTTAAAGAAGGGGTCTGAGTAACTGATCATTACAATTTGTTATTTATTGAATGTTTTTCTTTAAGCTCTTTTGTGGTAAGCTTTCAACAAAATGATACATCGCTGTCATCCATCCTTTTCATTATAAAAAAGGTATAGAAGTAAAATATGATATAGTGTGCTGATGGGTAGCTACGGGTCATCTGACAAGGTGGATGCTCTGATCACTGTGAAGATTTTTGTGTGTGTGTAAGGTACACAGAACCTCATGCTGTGCTTGCACTACATTGAAATGCTGGAAGGTAGTTTGGCTTCTTGGATCATTCAAGCGTGTTTGTTCTAATAATAACTATACAAAGGGCAAGCAAGTAGCATTTCTGCTCTATTTATTTTGCTGTACTTCATGGGTTTCCCTCACAGCACTGACATGTTTTCTTTGTATTTACTATACTCATTAACATATTGCCATCCACTTTTGGCTTCCACAATATATTCATTGTATTTCTAGAGACATGGCCACTGAAATATTGACATGAACTAAGTTTCTACTTGAATAACATTTATGCATATTTATGTTGCATCAGATATATTTATTATGACTGTGGAAAGAAGAATTATGTGCCTGTGGCAGACTTCAGAGTAACAAATGAGGTTTCATGTTTCATTGTTTTAGAGCAACTAGAATAATACAAAATGACTGATGATGCCTTTGCTGGAGTTTTGGACTTCCCAGAAAAGAAATTAATGTAAGATTGAAAGTGACCTGATATTCATAACAGTAGCATTTTTACAAAGTGATTTTATTGCAACATTGGCAAAGACAGAATTTTTGCAAGTAGGACACCAAAGCCTGGTGTCCTTAGGAGATGATAGTGCCTATTTTAGAACAGGGTGGCATGGCCTTGCCTGTCCGACATCCAGAAGCAAAGCATTTAGATTCAATGGCGGGTGTTTGTATCATGGGTAATATTTGGCAATAAGTTTTGGCTGTTATGATTAGAGTCAAGTTAAGTGTTAACCGTTAAGGAAGAAC